TTTTGTTATATTTTGTATCGTTGTTTGGCCCCAAACTAAATGCAATACAAGTAGTGAGTGTAAATCAAAGAATAATATAAAAGTAATTTAACACCTGTTGGAAAGACATCGCGATTTTTACAAAGGAGACCAATAGATTTACGAACTTTTTGATGTATATAAAAAAGGAAGTGCATATTGCTTTTAATAGCGTGCAATAAAGCCATAGCTATTGTGAATCGGCTCCACGGATCGTACACGAGCTATCGATTTGAAATATGAGGTATCTTGAAGAGTATATAGTCTAAAAAAAAAAGCGTTCAATCATACGAGGATCACAATAACACATGCACAGAAAGCGAAGCAATCACTCATTATAAAAACGCGATCATCAGTATTTACTCCTATTTTCTTGCAAGGATTGCGATCGAAAGAGTCCTTTCATCAGCATCACGGTAAGGCTGGGCGTCTTAGGTTAACCAGTTTGAGTGAACCAAAACTGAGCGCCGGCGTCGTAATTGCGATGACTGTGTCACGCAGTGCATTACGATCTCGAGTACTTGGATTGTTGCAAGGTTGGCCAAACAGCTCAAAACAATCCTACAACCAAGGCTCTCGGAGAACAGAAGGTTCTTCTAGGCGGGCTTAAAAAGAAACTGAAGCATTTTGCAAAGAAGTCGCAGTTAGGAGCGCACTTGTGTAGCTTTTTGTTCGGTGAATTCAGTTATCGCACTTACCTTGAGCATACACTCTAAGAAGTACCTCTGCGTCTGCTTACCCGCAAAACACTCAAAGAGCCAATCTCTGCGATCTACGAAATCAGCTCAGCGAATGATGAGGCGGAATATCCGTCTCGACCCAAAAATTAATCGACATCTTGTAAACCCTCACATGAGGAACGATAAAAAAACGGACGAACACAACAATCGTTATCGTTTGTCGTTCCCCATCTCAGGGTTTACAAGATGTCGATTAATTACCAGCTCGCCTGCACTCTCTCACTGCTTAAAGATTAAGTCGGCGTTGCGGCATTACGCAATGCAAGCATGACGCTTGGCATTGCGTGAGGCCACAGCGCAGACTTAATTTTGAGGTCGAAACAGATATTCCGCCTCGTCATTCCCTGAGCTGACTTCGTAGATTGCAGAGATTGGCTCTTCGAGTGCTTTGCGGGTAAGTAGACGCGCAGGCATTTCTTAGAGTAGAGAAGTAATCGCAAACCGGCGTTTATTTTGAAAATTACGCGCAGCGATTGCCGCTGGGCATGCGACGATCCTCTCTGTCGCCTGTTATCTCTCCAGAGCAACGTGACGTCATTGACGGCCTCCGCGAGCGAGTTTAGTGGCGAGCAAGGGTCATCTGACGCCAACCGATAATGACGTCACTTTTGCTAGTTTTTCTTTCTCTCCGCTCTCGGGCGTTCCAATCGTCGGCGCGCCGCAACGGGCGGGTCTACGTCGAAACTTTGATTGTCAATTACGACCCTCCTACTGCTAAGTTCGAAATAAATCTTGAGACATAATTTTTAAGGTGTCTACATTACAACTTTTACCGTTTGTTCGAATTCAAGGACCTCTTCAGCTTCCCCTTGAAGCGTGCTTCAGTTTTTCCCAAAACGTACAAGTTGCGTTGTCGTAGCCGTGGAGGAAGGAAAACGGATTTCAGAGTAACCGTTAGCACATCTCATTAAAATGAAACGGCAGGTTTCCCACCCACAATTCAAAAACATGTCCGCAGGTCTGCTCTGTTCGGGTAGTGTTTCAATAATGGCTATTCAATTACGTTGGTTCAACTATTTTTAGTGGGAGTAATATAAAATTGTAATTTTAATTAAAGATTTTTTTTTTTTCTACGGAGGAGTTGGTTGAAATGGAGTTACTCCCAAGGAAAAAGAGCTCGGTGTTTGCCTCATTTACGTTCTTGCCACTGTGTGGGGCTCGGCTTCGGTAGCGCAAAGTCTGCGGCTGTGCGTCGACCGTGTAACCGTGTAACCGTGTAACCTGACGATGAAGCGCAGAGCAATGTTACCAAACCGCAGGAAAATTTACCCATATTGCGGGAAAAAGCGTATCTTCAAGGGACCAAGAGAAACGTGGAAATTTAAAAAAAATAATTTTGACACCGTCGAAACAAATATTTCAGTTTTTTCTTTATTGGTTTGAGATAGAGATCCAGCCAGAAGAATTCAAAGCAATCCTATCCAGTCTCCGCGTTCAAATAACGCAGCTGCAGCACGGGATCAGTGAAAACAACAACAACAACACATATTGCAGCTGAAACTATGCTCGAAATCATTGTGTCTTAGTGACTGTTTAAAACGATATAAAAAAAAAAAAAAAGAAAACAGAAACAAAAAAAACAAAAAAAAAACTGATGGTTGTAGATACCTGAAACACGGTGGCAGTTGTGATGCGCTCTGCACTCTCCAGCCACGAGGACAGCCTCTGCGTAAATCTTAATGTTAAAGAGAAACAACACAAATTCTACGATGTTTGAACAGAACATCAAGGAAAACAGACGGGACGAGGAGCCATGCTAGTTCTCGCAGTTTGTCGTTTTTTGTTGTTTTTTTCGTTAACAATGCCTGATTTGCTCCCACACTAAAAAAAGTTGGTGCGTCTACTTTCACGCACAACGCTCGGATAGCCAATCACCACAACTTACGGAAGCAGCTCAGCGAATGACGATGCCGAAACATATGTTTAGACCAAAAAACGAAGTCTGAGTTGTGACATTAAGCAATGCTAAACGTCACGCTTGCATTCCTTAATGTCACAACTCAGACTGCGTGTTTTGGTCTAAACATATGTTTCGGCATCGTCATTCGCTGAGCTGCCTCCGTAAGTTGCGCTGATTGGCTCCCCGAGTGTTGTGCGGGAAAGCAGACTCACGGGCTTTTTTTAGAGTGTATAACTTTCATTAATATGTTTGATTTTAATTTGAACATATCTTTTTTTTGTTGTTGTTGTTTTAATGACGTGAGAGTTAGACGAGTGCTGTCTTCACCATGTATTTATCAGGCTCGGCGGACATTATACGACGAGATGCTCATCACGGTAAGTTGGCTAATTAGCTAAAATGTGTTAATTATGTATGTAATAATTGGGCTTAGTGGTCATGTTGTATTTCAGCATTCAATTTAAAACATTAGGGAAAACGTTTTTCTCTTAGATATTACTCGGTTAATTTTTTTTTAGGTTTTTCGCCCAATTTAAACATTTCACTCAAGAAGAGCGTCGTAACAATGCCGCTCGGAAGAGCGACGTAGCTTCTTCAATCATGCCGTCACTATCTTGGCAGCGTGTCTTTGATGGACGCGCAGACGACACAAGTGTCGACGTGACTGCAACGACTAGGTCACTCTTCCAAGCGTCATTGTGGGCAAGGATTGTGGCGCTGTTTTTTAAACGCACCTTTTAAATCGGGGGAAAAAAATTATACGATTTATATCTAAAAAAAAAACATCACATTTTTGCGAAGTCTTTAAATTGGTGTGTCCTTCAAGTCAAAGCCCTCAATACTGAAATTACATCATGGCCCCTAAAATTAATAATTAAACGTTAATTAACGGATTAATTAAACTATTCAACTTATCGTGGCGGTTATCCCCTCATCTAAAGTCCTCCAGGCCCGACGAAAGCATGGTGAAACCATCTATATCGCATCCCCTTAAAAAAAAAAAAAAAAAAACCGTTTGAATTTAAACTAAAGATTATGTATACGTTTTCAGTTTCTGTTTGACGTTATAAAGATTCTGCAAAGACAATTATTATCCCATTTAGTATCCCAAGTTTTTTTGTTTTTTTTCCTAGCTTCAATATTTTACTATTAAAATTTGAAGTAGGATAAAAGTTTTCCAAGCAGGAAGAATAATGATTATGATAACATAGCTTTTGCTTAACTAACAATGTAAACAAAACAACTCTTGCGGAAGTTCTTACAACACTTCCTGGCAAGGTTGCCTATAGACCTTTACATCGCAAGGCGAAAAATGCCGAGTCACTGAGCTGTGTACACATGCGCAGCGTCTGATATACCGCTCAGCAGAGCAACAGTGCATGCTCAGAAGGCGTTGCACAGCCCAGCAGACAACGATGGTAGCGCGCAGAAGGCGAATTTGGCAAAGATCTATATGATCAGTCGTGCATATTTAAGCTCTCTTTTTTTCGGTGGTTCTTTTTTTTTTCTCTTCTTTTTCTTATTTGGTTTGCAGCGTTCTTTACATTTAGAGATGCTTGCGTGTGATACCTACACTCAAAAGAACTGATTTTGAGGCTACATATTATTTTTTGGGGAAAAATATGTATTTTTTCTACTGGGCGAAAGTGAAGCCCATGTACAAACGTGACAACAGTGCCGTAGAGGGCGCTGCGAGCCACTGACACCGATCCAATGCCGCGTGAGTGTCACACGACATTCGGGGGGGGGGGGGGGGGGGGGGGGCATGGCGATGCACGGGGTGCGGAAGCACGTGTTACGTTCACAGTGCTGGATTGGCCGGGGTGGCTCGTAGCCTCCACTGCGCTCGATTTTCTTTTTACATAAAAAATTGACATGTATTATCTTTTTTTTTTATTTTTTTATGAAGACCTCATGATAGGTTTTGGCGACATAACAAATCTTAGGTCAAGACAACAGATCCGGGCATCCTTGCAGACTTCTCCTTCCACTTCCGCTCCCCCCAGTCAAATACCCACCGCGACACAGTTAGCACCAAGCATTAATAGTTAGTTTACTTCGTGTTTTTCGAATTGAAAGGTTGGAATAAAAATAAACAATTACTATGTAGACGGAAAATGCTAATTCGGTAAATGTTAGTGCCTGTCCATACTGCAGGTGAATAGAATTGGGAAAACGCGTCGAATCCGTGTGTGCGCCCAGTGTTGCGTCGCGCAGCGCACTGTGACGCGAAGGAAGAGCGAAGTTAGCGTCGTTCCCCGCCGTGAGCCTCCCGCTCGACTGGCGTGGCTCACAGGCCTCCTTTCGGACGTGCAGCTCGGTGACGGTCTTTCTGACTGCAGGCATCTCGGACGACAGCTTCGCCAGGTCATCGGCCCGAAGCTCGTCGCTCATGGACACGGACGTGAGCAGCGCCAGCAGCCTGTCGTCAACTCGGCGCACGATGCGCACCACGTCGTACGGAGACGAGGGTGGCAGCTACTCCTCCATGTCCACGGTGCGCCGGAGTTCGCGCCTTTCAGCCCTGGACGACGACGACATTGGTTCGAGCTCAAGGATTCGCAGCAGCACGGTCCGCACCTCCCGGCTCAACTCCCGAAACGACGACGACTTTGGATCGGCGACCGTCTCGAGGAGGCCCTACGGCCTCACGAGCGCCGATTCTTTCGAAAGCAGCAGCCGCAAGTCTTCGCTCGCGTCCAGCATCCTGGGCGAAACGGGCGAAAGCGCGACGTCCAGGGCCCTGAGGCGGCTGAGCAAAGACGACGACAAGGAGAGCTACGCAACGAAGAGATCGAAACTCGCTTCGAAATCGTCGTTTGACGTCGACGAGTCGACTTCCTCCGTGAGGTACAGCAGCACGAAGATAAGCAGCTCCGTGGAGTCGAGTGACCTGGGCGCTGCCAGCTTCGTGGCGTCCAAGAGCTCGTTCTCTTACAAGGACTCTTCGAGCTCCGGCGCTGCTGCTGCTGCTGAACCCTCGGTAAGCTCGATGCCTTCTCTCTCGCTCTGCACTAATCAATCGAAGGACCAGTGTATACAATGCTGTTTTGTTACAGTACGAGAAATAAGATTAGTTTAATCACCATATTGAAGTCCTCCGGTCCTGCCGGTTCTTTCGCCGAAAATTATTTCATTGCTACCTCCATGCTTTGCTTCATCGTGCGCAGTACCACAAGAAGAGAGCTCGAAATACCGATGTTTAAAACCCCAAAATTTCGTCACGTCTTAATATCTATAGGGAACCTGCAACGCTCTTTGGTGTTGCGCTATCGAGGGGCCGGAGAAAAAAAACAGTGGGTAGGCCAGAAACTGGCGGATTCATTGTTCTAACGTGAGCTCTCGCCTCGGTGGTTCGCCGCTTGACCAGGCGGCTGAATCAAGAAATACTGGGTAGGCCAGGGAGCCGTGGACGTATAACTTGGCAATACGGCGAAATCCACGGCCTGTGTCATTTAAAGCATCGGAGGGAGGCACATGAAAACGTAGCGTCAGGGTGCTCTTTAAATGCGAATAACTACCTGAAATCCCTAGATAAGAGCTTCCTACAAGTTGCGACATTCTTTGAAGCGCTGACTGTGTGACGGTGCAGGTGTTAGAAAGAGCAGTGGTGGAACTGACAAGTGGTGATTTGGACCAGCTCTTGTAGCAGGAAAAAACAGGTTTTGGAGCAGAAATCTCCACTTTTGGAGCAGATATTTTTTAGCTTTTATGTCAGAAAGTTTTATACAATATATTCGAAAGTTAGCTCGTAGAAAAAAACTGCAGTTGTTGGAGCGTTGGGAGCCTAAAGTGTTATGCCTACACAAGAACTGGGCTTGTGCAGTTATTTATTTATTTATTGGACAACCATACGCCAGCAATTTTGTAGATGTCTCAATTAACCTATTAGGAGTACCGATGGCGTCTTCGGTCTGTGTTTGACGTAAAAATATGTTTTTGGCCACTTTATAGAGGGTTTCAATCTCGGTAACGTAAGTGTCGCGAGATCGACATCAAACGGACACTTTTGTGCTGAATGTGTCTCACACTGCCCTCGCTCGTATTTAATCTGCTGCTGTCCAAAGAGCAGCTAAGCGGAGCGCATAGCTACACTAACCGATCACGACGACTAGCACTACCTATTCATTACGATTGATGTGAGCGCCGTTCGCACAAAAACCGATAACTCTTCGTTTGGCATGGGCAAATAATGAATTTTGGGTTCGAAGCAAATTGGAAATGAATAGCGGTTTCGGCAGAATATTTTTTAATTGAATGTTAAGAGTTTTTGCGCCTTTCTCCACGCCTTTTACTGCTGTTACACCATGTTTAAACAAAACTTCAGCTGGACTCACGAAGGTTTTTGTTCCTAATTGCCCACTCAAGAGTTCTGTTAAATTTAATCTAGCTATATTTATAGACTGTAGCCTCAGAACTCCCAGTACTTACATTGGGATGGCAAGTAAATGACAGATTTGACATAAAATTAACACTGTAAAGGATCCCAGCCATACCTAATTGAGGGGATTTCTAAATATTCTTACGGAGGCAGCTCAGCGAATGACGATGCCGAAACATATGTTTAGGCCAAAAAACGCAGTCTGAGTTGTGACATTAAGCAATGCAAGCGTGACGTTTTGCATTGATTAATGTCAAAACTCAGACTACGTTTTTTGGTCTAAACATATGTTTTCGCATCGTCATTCGCAGAGCTGCCTCTGTAAGTTGCGGTGATTGGCTCTCCGAGTGTTGTGCCGGAAAACAAAAGCACGGTCTTTTTTTAGAGTGTGTTGTGTCCCGTGCATCTCATTATCGCTTGCAGCCAATGAGATTGTGGTATCAGCCATCAGCCACTAAATTTCGCCGAAGAAAGAATCACGAAGTATGAACACAATAAGCTCCGCCCTGCCTTTCTTTAACGTTCTATCAAGTAGCCCGTACGAAAAGTACTACCGGCCCGTTTGCCCTACCAAGAGTGGGCTCGCCGTCAGTTTCACCGCCGCAGCGCGGTTCCGAAACGACTCTTGAACATTCCAGTGGCTCTAATCCAGACAACAGTCGGCTGCCCATTACCGATGTTTTCCCCGGTGCGCCTCTGTCTGGAGGGTCAAATCAAAATTAAAAAAAAGAGGGAACTTGTCTTGACGGTCTTGAAATAGCACTGGTATAACAGTGAAAGAGACGAGCACAGAAAGGTTTTCCCGCGAGGTGCAGGAGCAGTGGCGCCATCCCTTGGCAACATATCCAATTAACCAGCTGTCGTTTGATATATTTTTAACTCCATCCCCTCGTCATCCGGTCCACTTCGCGACTTCCCACCCACTGTTCTTCTTTTTGCCAACAGTTTAAGTTTAGAATTAGGACGTTCGCCTGTAAACTCGTCAGCTGTTACGACGAACATCTGCTGCTGGCCATGTGGCGACATAATGGTGCGCAACAAGAATTGTGTGATACTTTCACTCGCTTTGATGTTGCTGTACCCCGTGCTCTCGGAAACGCACGGAGGTACACTCTAAAGAAATTCTGCGCGTCCACTTTCCCGCACAACACTCGGCGAGCCAATCACCGCAACTTACTGAGGCAGCTCAGCGAATGACGATGCCGAATCATATGTTTAGACCAAAAAACGCAGTCTGAGTTGTGACATTAAGCAATGAAAGCGTGACGTTTTGCATTGCTTAATGTCACAACTCAGACTGCGTTTTTCGGTCTAAGCATATGTTTCCGCATCGTCATTCGCTGAGCTGCCTCCGTAAGTTGCGCTGATTGGCTCTCCGAGTATTGTACGTGAAAGTAGACGCACAGACATTTTTTAGAGTGTATCGTAACTTCGTAAAAAGAAGTAATGACAGCAACCGACATTTCGCTAAAATAATTCGCTTCCCCGGGACCGTGCAGACGTTTTTTATTAACAAAGTGTCGGCTGTCATTCTTTCGAGGAGGTCTTCTTTTGATAATAATGTTCTTTGAAAATTCACAGTGAACTCCTGTGTCCTTGTCCAAGTTATATTCCACCCTTCTCTTCGTTTTCTACTCGTTTTCTGCCCATGAAGATGTTGGAAACAAATTATAAAAGCACAGCTTCATGCAGATTATAATGCCGATATGAAAATGTTTTGAGCCAGAAAGTATCTATGCAATTTATTGAGACTGTCTCTGGTTTCGTGCCATTTGTGTCATCGTGACTCTTCGAAACAGGCGCTTACTCATGCAGTTTACAACACTATAGAGAGAACTTCCAATGTGCGTTAACACGGCGACATGTTTGGTAGTGGAACTTTGCTTTTTCTGAAGCGCTTGAATATATCCAAAAGCATCGCAACAGGCGATGTGTTTTTCCCAAAGACCTTTATCTCAGGCTGCACACATGATGAACAGCAATGTCCTACTTTTTGAGGTTATGTGGTTGATTACCAGCACATCAACATTCTTCTTCAGGGCATGTTCCTGGGGGCTTGCATTGTAATACGGGCTCATATCAGACCAACCTGTGTTTCTGGTATAGTCCGTACTCTTCGTAGATACTTGTTAACAGTTTTACAATCAACAGATGAATTACCACAGAATGGTCTCAACTTTAATCACGACGGCAGTGAAAGTTGTAGGAAGGGCTTAAAAACCTACCCCTTGGAAGCCTCAGAGGTTCATTTTCAAGTTAAATTTACCTACTTTAAGTTTCAAGCTTTACCAATCATTTTACACATTGCGTTAGCATCTTGAAGTTCCTGCTGACCATAAAGAATTTTGCTGACACGTGGTGCAAGCTGTATAATACCGTCATAATAAAGACATCTCTTCGAAGCTGTATACATGTATAATGCAGAAATTTCTTCAGCTACGAAAAACACTCAGGCGTGGTCGAACAGTCAGATATTGAGAGAATTGGTGGCAGCGAAGCACCATGGGAATCAATGCTTATGAACGTTATCTTACGTTTAGTCTAATGATGGCAACTATAACATTCGGTGACATTCATTTAGAAAGGCGAAAAAAGTATATGTAAATCAGGACATCGGGATTAGTACTTCTGCTTACTCATAATTTTTAAAGGCAGTGGAAAATTTATTTATTTTGTGGCTCATTCGGGATTTATTTGTGGGTCAGAATAAGGTTTCTACAGAGTCTTCAACCATGGCCGTTTGCCTTTCCGGTTCCCGCTTAAAGCAATAAAAATCGTCAAGCAACCGTGGTTCAACTTTTCGTTGTCAAAATGACAGTGTATCTGTCGGAGGCAGTCCGTCTTCCTGTTCTGGAACCTTGCCCATAGCTCATCCGGTAGAGCCCAGAGAAACAATGACGGACGAGCTTGCTTTGCATCCCTCTAAAACTGGTCTTTTGCCTACGTCCAGCCGCGTCAATAAGATGTATGGAGGATCCTTCTCAAATAAAGCAACCCCCACCCTTTTCCCCAAAGAACTCCTCGACTCAGAAAAGGGGTGTGTGCTGGGTCAGTGAACCCGACGTTTCACGTGCTCACTGCCCCAACGGAAGAGCGTACTTCTAGCTTCAAACACTCTTCAGCATCGACCTTCACGGGCACCCTCAGTCGGTCTCAAGGGTTGGCCTTCCGCGTGGGCATCGAGGAAGTGTGCGGGTGAGAAGTTTTGCCACCAAAATTGTCTAAAACAAGACACTTTAAAAAGAATACCCATTCGCTTACTTTCCCCGAACAAGTTGCAAAGCCAACCACTGTAATCCATGGAGACGGCTTGACGAAAAAGGATTTCGGCCTAAATTTGAAGTCAGATGTTATACTGAGTACTATACGGCGAGCGATTCGGTCTGCTGCTTGCGCACCATGTGGGTTTGTTTACCCTCCAAATGCGCACACGTGCTTTTGTTTCTTCCCGACCAAAGCCGCATATACAGAGAGTTTGGCCATTCATTCATTGGAAAAGAGTCAAATGAGGAGACGCCACTGGCTGAAAGCGTACTGGGCGTGTTCCAGGGCGTCTTCACAAATTCGAATGTGGCCAACCAGAAGCCGTAAATAATACCCTG